GTAGTTGTTACATAGTTGATTATATTCCTCGAAATTATTTGATGAATTATATTCATCAAATTATCTTCATATGTACACTTTGATTTGTACATTTTAATACATATTAATTATATCCCAATAAAAAATCTTAGCATTAAGAGAAGAAGTATTCCCAGATCTCTAGAAGTTTTGCTAAGAGCTTCTTTTTCTATAATAATTTTAGATTAGCTCTGAAAAAAGACAAAGCTGAAACATTTTCCAAAAATTGTGAAATCTCAAAATATTTACAATCCTATTAAAGGTTTGGCATATGTAAGAAAAATGAGGAGGACTGGTCTGATTGTGCAGAAAACTGAATCAGAAAATGTTTTAAAGGCTGAAGACAATATAGTTAAAATATTATGAAGAAGAACCCAGCCTTCATGGCTCAGTGTTTGAGTGTCGACCTATGAACTAGGTCTCAGTTTGATTCCTGGTCGGGGTGCATTCCTAGGTTGTGGGCTTGATCCCCAGTGGGGGATGTGTAGGAGGCAGCAGATCAATGACTGTCCCTCATCATTAATGTTTCTACCTCTCTCTCCCTCTTCATTCCTCTCTAAAATCAATAAAAAAGTGTTTTTAAAATATTATGAAGAAGAAATTATTAGGCTACCTTTAGTAAATAACTATCAAGTGATAAGCATTTTGTAGAAGAATGAATGCTCTTCAAGTATTTTAAAAGGATCTAAACTCATTAACCATATCAGCCTATTTGCAAATTGGCCAGCAAGATAGATCTAAGAATGAATGGAAAATTTTTATAATTAACCATAATTAGAGCAGTTAAGTTGCTTGTTCCTTTTTAAAATCAAGGGCCCAAACCTCTCTGACCCCATCTCCCACTGTTCTCCCCTTCGCTCTGCCCATACTGCCTCCCTGCTCTTGCTAGAACATACCAAACACTCTGGCTTCGTGGCATTTGCACTACTTGCTACTTACTCACTCTGGCTCAATCATCTTCCCCCTCGAAATTCCTATGAAATGTCCTTCATTCCCTTCAGGTCCCTGCTCAAATATCTCCTCATCAGAAAGGATTTCTTTGACATGCTATGAAATAGCACCCAACCCCCGCCCAATCCCAACATTCACAATCTCCCTTAAACCCTTCATTATTTTTATTTCAAGCACTGAAAAATTCTCATAATTCCAGAAACAAATTGTAATCTCTACACTCAGATGTATCTCCCTCTAGTCCTTCCAGACATTTCATTCGGGAAGCTGAGAACACTTTTGTAAGCACAATCTTAATTATAAAATTATGTCATAAACTCTTTTATATGTC